CTTATTCTTTCTCTAAAGCGTCAGCTGTAGAAATACCTATTTTCAGGTTGTTGCATATGCCAATCATCACTAACACCCTTTGAGTTAGAGTTTCTGTAGAGCTCATTTAACTGTGAAACAGGTTCAGGTTTTTTTTCCAGTTCTTCGTGCTACTTTGGTTTCCTTCCTTTTCCCTCCTTTACTTTACAATTTGGTTGCTTTTTCTTATCTGCTTTTATGCAGAAATAAAGCCTAAAAAATAGATGCAAAGGGAGGAAGAAGCAGAATCATAGAAACCCAAGGACATTAAAAATACGTAAGCGGAAGGAATTAAATTGTCAAATATTTAAACAGTTTTAGGTGAGAAAACAGTCACTTCAAACCCAAAGTACTGAACTGGTGCCTGATTCCAAAATCTTGCTTTCCCTCTGTTAGGTCTGGACATGCCCAAGCAAAGCAATAGATGCAGTTGGGAACGAAAATAACCTAAGCAAACAAATCTTATCCTTTTACATCCTTAAAATTATCAGTTTTTTACTTGCCATTTGTGTTTTATCTTGCTGGAGAAGCTGTAGAAAGGGCCCATAAATTATTAGTAGAAAGAGTCCATAAATTATCAATCCACAGATTAAATAATCTTTTATTTGTCTTGAATTCATCATCTTTGCTTGACCAATCTGATAGCGTATGATGGATCGATTGGCTGGCTAGACAAGAGAGAGCAGGGGATGTTGTCTACCTTGACTTCAGCAAGCCTTTTGACACTGTCTCCCATAGCATCCTCATGGATGTAAGCTCAGAAGTGTCAGTTAGATGAGTGCACAGCGAAGTGGATTGAGAACTGGCTGAATGGCAGAGCTCAGAGGGTTGTGATCAATGGTGCAATCTAGTTGGAGTCCAGTGTTCCTCTGGGGTCAGTACTGGGTCCTGTCTTGTTCTATCCTCACCCTCTACTCTGCCCTGGTGAGGCCACATCTGGAGCACTGTGTCCAATTCTGGGCTCCTCAGTACAAGAGAGACAAGGAGAAGGTCCAGTGGAGGGCTACAAAGATGATCAGGGTACTTAGAGCATCCGGGGCTGCCCAGAGAGGTTGTGGAAGTATTCAAAACCCACCTGGACATGATTTGTGAAACCTACTCTGGGTGAACCTGCTTTAGCAAGGGGGTTGGACTACAGGATCTGAAGAGGTCCCATCCAACCCCAACCGTTTTGGGGTTTTGTGTTAACTGAATGAAAACTGAGGACTCCAAGGACAGGTCTGTGTAAAGATTCAGCAGTTGACTGTTTTATCTAGACAGCTATTTGTGGTTCTCTGACTCATCTCCTGGAAGCTCTTGCGTCACACAGGCTATAGAGAGAAATAGGGATACTAAATTTAGGCTCTGTCAACATGGTTGAAAGGAAATGGTGTGTGCCAATACTGTGGAATACAGCATCTTGGGAAGAACTGATGACTTTACCCATGGTGTACAACAGCTTCATCTTACAACAGAGGAGGGTGGTTGCTTCCTGGAGTGAGCTCTTTGCAGCCCAAAGGGGATGCTGGTTGTGGAGGGATTGCATGTGGCCCTGATGCAAATGTTGGTCTCTGGGTGCTCACCACTTCCAATCTCCTTGGAAGCACCTGGATCACTTCTTTCGTCTCTACTTCCTCCATCCCAAATCTTCAAGCTCCTGGGATTAGTTGTGAAAAGGGAAACTCGGAACTTAAACTGCTTTAGCTGAGCTCCTGGGCTGGGGGGGCTGGCTGCAGAATGCTGTCTTCCAAAACATATTTCCCTGTATCTTCACAATCTATAATAGTCTCTTGAAATTGAACCTATTATAAGCATAAAAAGCAGAGGCTGGATGACATTTTGAGGTCACTGAGAGCAATTCCTGGTATCACAAGTACTGTTTGTGAGACTTTGAAAATTTACAGTTATTTCTCTGACAGAAGCTGCATTTGCTTTGAGTTTTTTTCCTTGCTATTCATACCAAATACAAGTTGTACCTTTTCCAGTCTTTGAAGACGAGAGAGTAAGGTCCAGCTAGAGGTCCCCAAAAGCAAAGGCTTCTTATTTATTTCACTTTTTGGTTGGTTAGTTGAGCTGTGGGCTCTCTTTCTTACTTAGAGAAAAATTTTTTGTATCTTTGTAATTTTTGTATCTTTGTAATGCTATTACATTACAAAGAATAATAATGGTAACTTAAGAGCATGAACAAGTGGCAAAGGTTCTGCAGAATGCTGTTTGCTCTCCAAAGGAATCTGAGTGCATTAGAGGACGGCTGAGTCAGGTAGTTACCTTGCAAAAGAAGGCTGATACACTATTGATCTGAATGGGATCTTTAAAATAGGGCTCCTGTGCATTTTTTGGGTAGCACAGAGCCCCTGGTTAGCCTATGGCACAGTGAAGGATTTCTCTCTCAGTGGCTGTGGTATTTTCTGCCTGTAGGAAGTGCTGAAGAGAGTGAAATGAAACTAAACCAGACTTGAAGTGAATGCAAAACTCCCGAGTCCCTCAGCAGGCAGTTGCACAGCCTAAATAATGAATCTGTGTCAGATAAGCTGTGACTGGTTTTCAGATCTGAGCTTTGAGGAGTTTGGGGTCAGACTAATTTCATGGGAGGTGTCACCAAGCCTTGTGTACTTTAATTGCAATCCTGGTTTCAAAGTCTTCACAGTTCGGGTGAACTTCGGATCCGACTCTGTCATCTAAACTAAACTAGATCTGATTTTGATTTGCTGCCCCCGGGTGAGCTTGGCTGGAAGTGAACTGCATTGACTTATCTTCCATTTAGGTCCCTATGAAAAATATTCTATAGCAATTAACAACAGCCAGAATTAAGCCAACACCACACATTCTTTCCTACTCACCAATATCCAAATAATGGCATACATTAACACCTACAGATACTCCTTAGCCAGGCAGAAAACAATTTAACAATGCAGCTTTTTTGGTGTCTGCAATGGGCCAAGAAACCTCAGCAGAGCAGACTAGCTTGAGAGATTGCCGATGCTTCCTGTTTCTGGTCAAGTCAGCAATAGAGCATACGCACTGAAAGCCACATGTTTGCCACATCTGAGGGCAAGGGGAGGGGTTTTCAGAGTTTTTCCATGACTTCAGGGCTTTCAGTAGTGCCCCCTTTCTCATGGGCTGAGCCCTGTGATGGGAAACCAGAGCAGGGTTTCTAAGGCTGAGGTGCTCCTCAGAAGAGTGAGGACCCTCCTGTAGAAAAGCTCATCAGCTGCATATAAAGATAAGACCGTGGAAATGGGTTGTTCCCCAAAGTGAATTGCTGCTGATGTTGCTGAAAGGCCCACAGTGTGTGAAGGGTCAGCTTGGGCTCCTTTGTAGTACAGGATTTTTGTCCAAAATGACCTGCTTCAAAACACTAGGAAGTAAGAGAAGGCAAAAGGATGAAAGAGTGAAGTGTCTTGGAGGAGCCTGCCAGGAAGCATGGAGGCTGCTGCTGGCTCAGGGTCTTATTTCACTGAAAGAAATTTAACATTGTCTAACTGATGGCAAAATTGCACACTATTAATGGTCTCTCTTTATGGCTATAATTTATTCTTATTTCTCAGAGACAACAGAGTGGAGGCCAGGTTGCTTTATCCTGTGCTATTAAAAAGCCTGGGGCTGAGAAGCTTAGCACTGCTTTGTTAGGATTTTCTCCATCTGGTAAAATAATAGAATAAAATCATCCTATCCAGAGCACTGACTTTTTTTATTTTTATTTTTTTTAAAGAATGGTCTTTCTTTTTCAATTCCAAGCTGTTAGGAAAAGGGAGTAGGTCGTTGCATGTGAGTAAATGCATACCTTCATTCATTAGCTGCCTTTTCTATACTCAGGAGTTATGATTCCTGGCTGCTGGGCTCGCTGAAACTTCTCTGGGCACCCATTGTGTGCATCGAGGTGAAGGCAGACAGAGGTTAAAAACCCTATTCAGAGACTTGAACAATTTATAGGGCCTAGGGAAGTGAGAAGATCTCAGTAGAGGTTATAATGTCATAGGCAAGATAAGCCTTTTCTGTAAGGGGAAAAGCAAGAAAGAAAACATTGATATAGTTTTCTTGTTTCCTTTTTTTCCGCATGTTAATAGCAAAATGAATTTTTGTCCTTTCCAACCCTAACCATTCTAGAATTCTATGTGTATCAAAAACCAGTGTCTCTAGCAATGAACCCTTTGAAAGTTTCTTGTGTATTTTGAAGTCACCCGGTCAATGGGATGAAATCTCACCACTCTGTACCATCAGTTTCTGGTGACATAGCACAATGAACAGATTACTGCTATTAGGAGTATTTTTGAGTGTGTTCATGCAAGCTAAATTACCTCAGTTGACAGCATCAACTAAGCTTGAATAAGAAGACACTGTGTTTCTGAAACTAGAAACTAAATCTGTGACTAAATGTTTTGATGTGAACAGTCCACTGAGCTCTAGACACAGAAAGAAGATACAAGAACACAAGGGGAAAAACTTGCATACTAGTGAAAATAGGCCTTAAGATCTCAGTGATGAAGGGAAAAGAGAAAACAGTGAACTGGTACCAGCTTTTGTAACTTTTTGGTCCTATCTTCACACTGTAAAAATTAAATCTCAAATACACGCCTGTGTTACTGCAATTCATAGACTAAGAGAGCCTGAGATTACTCTTTAATCCTTCATTATCTAAGGATTCCACTAAGCCAAAGAAGCTCAGATAATATCTGTCCTCTGGACTGCACAAACTCCACAGCTCCTGGCTGAGGGCCAGGCCTGAAATTGTTTCTGGGAAAGTCTGGACCTCAGATCTAAATCTTGGCTTTTCAGAAGGTGAAAGCTTTAGAGGTGTATTTCCACACCAGCGTGGCCTGGTGTCATGCAGGGTTCTGTCAAACAGGCAGGACAGGATTCAAGGAAAACATACAGTAATGAGCTTGGCTATGTGGCTAGATCTGCAACTAGATTACTGTTTTAATATTTGTTATGAAAAGGTCTAGCAACCCCAGGGGAGACCAGAGGCTGAGCATTGTGCATATACAAACTCTCTGCCCAAACAGCTTAATATTTAAATAGAAAAGATGGATAAATAGTGAAAAGGAAGACACTTGGAAGTAAATTGCACAAAGTCCATAGCAGGATGCAGCACAGAAATATCCTGTAAATCCCCTATCTTCTGTGTCTTGTCCCAGAGTTTTAGCTTGAAAGTCAATAATATCATTGTCTTTGCTTTTGTACATTCTATCCATAAACCTACTCCAGAGTTATGGTTGCAAGGTTGTTGTAAAGATTACAAGCTTTGATTGTTAGTTTTTTGGTAAGTCCATGTCAAAATACTACATCATAAAATTCAGTTAAAAAGATTCCCCCATCTCCTGAGCACAGGCACCTTGCCAATGGTCCATTAGCCAACAAGTCTCAATATTGTGTATTCTTCCCATAATCTGGTTATGTTTAAATCTGTGTTTACACAGTATTGTTTTGAGGAACCATTGTCAGGTATTGTGGGTTATATGCTGGGTGGTCCAACAACAATCCAACCCCAGATCACACCAGAAGAATTTGTCAGGTGTGGGTTTTGCAGTGTTTTAGGGTTTGTCCTGGGATACTCACGAAGTTCCTAAAGGTGTTGCCTAATAAAAGCAGACTACTGTTGTTCAGGGAAAGATCAATCTGGGCAGCAGTGGGAAGTCAGAGAGCTGCTCACATTTCATCACTGTACCTCAAGACCCCAAGAACGTTTTCATTGGGAAGAAAAACTTCATTCAAGAATTTAGGATGATTGAGTGTTACTGCTACTCGGTCCTTCACATTCAGGGGTGTCAAATGGAGCTGGAACAAGGTCTTAAAAGTCTTTTTGTGGCACGTTTCGGAGGCGCACCACGTGGATAATGTTTGCCTGTTGACTTGGTCATTCACAAGGAACTCTATCTTGAGGTCGGTGGGACTGTTTGACCAGCTGGGGAAATAAAAGTTCAAGTGGCAATAGATCAAGTAGAGGCCTTGTTTCTTTATCACCAGCTCTTCTCTCTTGCACTGGATGTCTTCACAAATGCCCTTCTCAACCAAGCTCAGTTTTGAACTGTTTACTTGATTGGACACTAGAAAGGAAAGCAAACAAACTTTAAAATGAGCTGCTGAGCTCTACTAACCTGAACTCAGCCTTAGGTGACCTGCAGCAGCGTGTTTCCTGATAAACAGATACCTATTCAGTGGTTTTCCCATAGGAAGCTCCAAAAAAAAGGTCCTGGCCAGACCACTGGGAGTTCACACATGGAAGTGGGGTGCTAGAGAGTTCCAAGAACCTACACAGCCCTTGGGAAACCCAGGGAGATGCAGTCAAAATGGCCTTCTGCAATACTTGAATGGAAATAACAGAGGTGTATTCATGTGTTTGTGTGCAGAAGGTATCTACTTATTGATTTTTCATTATCAAGTTAAAAACTGGAGTTTCTGTGGCCACACAGGGGCTTTACCCAAGACACCCACATTTCAGGAACGCTAAGACTGTTTTTACCTATCCATTTGGTCAAAAAACCGCTTGCCACTAAGCCCAGTTTGAATAGCAAACAGCCTGCTCTTCAACCACCTCTGCGACCTCTCCTTGCCAACACTGAGCTCCCCACTGACCTCTCATGTACGCAGCTGCTCCCTTGGTCGGGACATTCTGTAGGATTCTTAAATAGTCTTCGGAGGTGTTCCCTGAGGGAAACAACAGATTAAGTGACCACTCCTGCTGGTTTTGTACTGTGAAAAGCTGTCAGCATTTGGCATCTCATGTATTTGCTAGAACTGTGCTATGGACAAATCCCACAGCAGCAGCTCCAAAGCAGCAAGCAACAGCAGCTTGAATAGCATGCAGGAGAGCTGATTATTCCTCTGTTATTTTGTGATTGTATAGAGCAGTTTGCACTGTCCTGTGCAGCCCACAGGCACATGGATACAGGGACAAGCTACAGGCTCAGAAAAGCAGTGTATATCCCAGTGTTTGCAACCAGACAGGGTGGATGGTTATTTCTCATTGCTCTGGCTCTTCTTTACATCTCCTGGCTGTGCTTTCAGCTCTCTCTCCCATGGTATACAATGACTGTGGAGATCCTGTGACTCAGTTGATAATATCAGTATTAGAGTCACGCATCTTCAGCGTTTCTGAAGGATGGGTTAATACACCAAACTAAGTTCTAGTATATCCTGGTGCTACTCCATGACATCAGATAACATATTTCATGTTCCTTACATGAACGAGAAGTAGTCAACTAAATGCAGTGAGACAAGGATCTTGAGTTTCAAAGGATTCCTTAAAATAAGGGTCAAAAAAATAATTCAGATCTCCAGACGCTTGCATTATCTGCATGGCCAGATTTCTAAGAGGCTCTTGGTCAGGAGGGATAGATCAGGGAGAAGCTGGTCCCCTCAAGTCCCCCTTGTTGGTGATTTGTAAAGTTGCACCCTCTGCACTCACTGTTGGAGAAGGCTGGGGATGCCTTGAAAGAATTGCAATCTGTCTCTATTTTTAGCAGTTTAAACACTTTAGAGGGAAACAGGTTCCCACTGCACTCCAAGATTGAGCAAGTCACATATCAAAGTCCCTTGGCCATGCTGGAAATCCCCAGAGAAAAACCAAAGCCTACTTTCCTGATGTTAGTCATGTCAATGTAGTGTTGTAGTGATGTGGAGAGATGTCATAGGGTAGGAGAAAACCCTTCTGTCCCTTATTTCCAACTGAAGCTGTTAGGGTGGTAACGACAGTCTCTGGTCATGCATAATCAGCGCCCTGAGCCCGCTCCCACTACAAGTGTCCTGCAAGAAGGGAGAGTACTTTGACAGAAACTCGGTGGCATTTAGAGAGTTCACCCTATAAAGCAGAAAATCCCCTGCTGCTCAAGCAGCCTTTGGGAGCTGCAGCCTTGCAGTGTCTCATGAAGCAAGCAAAGTGCTCTACATACGTGTACTGAAGCTGAGAAGGGGAAAATCTCTACAGTCTAAATATGAAATATCTACTTCTGAAGAGCCCACCATCATGGCACTTGTGACTAACAACCCCCAGTTTCATTAGTGTTGCACTGGGACAATTCCAAGCTGCAAGAGACCAGATTTAGTTGCAGAAGGCCAAACTGCAGTCAGATAGAGCTGCAAATCTGGAAGGGCTTGTTTGTTTCGTCGGCTTTAGTCTGGTTTACTCCAGGGTAGCAAGGATGGGAATAGCACCTGTATTACAGTAACTTCTACAGCAGCCTGATGTAACCAGGAGCTCCATCAGTCATGAGCTGTCTCGGGAGAGTCTTGGCATCACTCAAGACTCACCCCTCACTGAGCTAGGTGCGCTTTGCATTTCCAAAGCTGTACTTACATTTATTGATGTCAGCAAGTTTTGTGTGTGTGTGTTTAAAGCATTTATTTGATGACATCAGCTGTGTTTCTGAGAAGACGAGTTATGGGAAAAAATGGGTTTATAGCGACATTTCCTGCTCTCACTTTGCTAAGGCAGCTAATAACTATTGTCTTGTTTTATTTCTCAAGTAGCAAAGTAGCATTTCAGCACCAGCCAGGAGAGACTGAAATTACTCCAGTTTCAGGCCTGATTGATGCATGTATTCAATCACATCCTCTAATTTGCTTTGCATCAGTAATTGTAAATCTGAAGTAATCCCACTGAACTCAATAGGATTATATGGTTAAAAAAAAAAAAAAACAAGAGAAAAAGGAAAAGTAAAGCCACATTTAGGATGAAATACCAAGGAGACCTCACTGGTTTGTTGTTTGACAGTGTAGATCGGGCTGCTTTAAGGAAGCCTGCTAGTAAGGAAGGAGTCTTAGTAGGAAGCCATTTAGACTCTTTTGCCCTAAAGAAGGTACCAGGAGATAATTCACTCTTGTCTTCCTGACCCCTTTACAATAGGATGAGCATCCAGAGGGTGCAACCATGAGGAAAAGGCCCGGACTATTTCTGTGAGCTTAATGCAGCTTTTCCCCACTGAGACAAAGGGGACTTTGAAATGGGACTCAGAGGAGCTGCAGCCTCAGCTGCAGTGCAAAACAGAAGGAGCCTCATCATAGAACCATGGAATGGACAGGGTTGAGGGGACCTTAAAGCTCCTCCAGCTCCAACCCCTGCCACGGGCAGGGACCCCTTCCACTGGAGCAGCTTGCTCCAAGCCCCTGTGTCCAACCTGGCCTTGAACACTGCCAGGGATGGGGCAGCCACAGCTTCTCTGGGCACCCTGTGCCAGCGCCTCAGCACCCTCACAGGGAAGAGCTTCTGCCTAAGAGCTCAGTTCAGTCTCCCCTCGGGCAGGTTCAAGCCATTCCCCTTGGCCTGTCCCTACAGGCCCTTGTCCCAAGCCCCTCTCCAGCTTTCCTGTAGACGAACAAGAAACATCAAAACACAACAGGACCCTGTCCAGCCAGGAGGAGCCCCAGGTCTGTGGGACACATGGACCTATGGGCTACTGCCAGCCAGGTGCAAGGAGATGCTGCACTCCTGATGCCACCATCCCTGTGATGCCTGGGGAAATTTCCCACTGCATCAGTTTTCCCAACTTTCAGTTGAGTATAATGGGAGCACAGACAAAGGGCAGTGAAACCAGCAGCTGAAACTGGCAGGCCAGAGTGCAAAAACTTGCTATCCTTACACGGAAAACCCCTCAAATGAGATTTCCGAAGCTTGTCTTAGTAGCTGTCATCTCTCAGTATGGGATTCCTCTGCAGTATCTGTGACGTTACATCTAGCTGGAGGCTGAGTGTGAGCAGGCACAAAAGCAGAACAAGAATCTGAAGTTATTTTATGAAGTAAAGAATTATGGGCTGGCAACAAACAGCTTTCAATTCCTCCATACCCCCCACTGATTTAAATGCTTGTAAAATTAGGCAAGATGATTTCATACATCTCTGTCAGCACGCTAGAGCTAGCAGAACTTGCCTAATGCTATGTCTCAGGAGCTGCTGTAAGAAGTCCCTGTAGCTATCTTAAGCTCTCTCGTTCCAGTTCAGTGTTCTGCAAACAGCTGCTTGTTGGCACCGATGGACTGTGCCAGCTGAGTGATGCTGTCACATATGTACCAAGTGCCTTTGGTCCTTGAGAGCGCAAGGACTGTCACTGTGATCCTGTGCATTGAAATGGAGCTGAACTCACTGCCAATTTTATCTTCTTCCAAAAACCATAAACTTTAAAAGTATCCCTTTCTGTCCTCCAAATTTAGGAAGCACTCCCACAATCTCATCACTGCACACTCGATACTGCAAAACATGTAGAGTTAAAGGCCAAAACTATTCAGGCTTCTGTAGCCTAAGGCCACATAATTTCATGAGCTGTTAATCTCTCCATATATGTATTAATCTCTAACTTGCATTTTAAGTATTGGAGAGATGGAAGATCTAACATTCTGCATCTTGTAGCAATGCTGATAATCTCACTATGAATTAAGAAAGCAAACAGCCCCTTTTATGACTACCTGGAATCTGCCTAGCTGCAGTTTGCTCTGGATGCTGGCCCCAGAGGTCGCCTGTGCTCTCTTTCTAGCATCTGCAAGCCCAGGCTTGGCAAAATGTTTCAAACTGAGAAACAGCTCATCTGCCCTCACCTCAGAGCAGACGGAACCTCATACAGTTCCACATATATGCACATAAACACATACGTGTACTGAAGCTGAGAAGGCAAAAATCTCTACAGTCTAAACATGAAATATCTACTTCTGAAGAGCCCACCATCATGGCACTTGTGACTAACAACCCCATTTTCATTAGTGTTGCACTGGGACAATTCCAAGCTGCAAGAGACCAGATTTAGTTGCAGAAGGCCAAACTGCACTCAGATAGAGCTGGAAATCTGGAAGGGCTTGTTTGCTTCACTGGCTTTAGCCTGATTTTGTCCAGGGTAGCAAGGATGGGAACAGCAACTGTATCGCAGTACTTTCTCAAAGCCAGAGTTTCATTTGGGAACCTATTTCCCATTGAAACTGTGAATGGGGTGTGGGGTTTCCCTTCTGCTCTGCCCACCAACTGCCAATGGACCTTACCACCAGAAAAGGATTACCTATAAACAGTGTGTGTGCGTGTGTTTATGTAGCTGCAGGGTTTTCCTTTTATAAATAAGAAGATGTCTTGGTATTTTGTCTTTGCAGCTCAAAATAACAAGAAAAGCCATCAGGCCAGGATTACATTTATAGGGAAATGAGGCTTGGAGAAGACAGCGAGGAGTTGATGAAGGCTGAACCTCTCCAGATGTTGTCAGGTCATAAATTTCTCTGTGACCTAGATTTCCCTCTAAAAAATGAACCCAACAGTAACACCTGTCTCGCCCATATTAATGTATGATTTGATATTTATGAAATGTGGATGAGTTCTGTCTCTCATCCAAATGTGGATGACAGAAATATTTTCCACAGGAAGAACATTTTGCAAACGAATTCTTGATGACTTTCAGTCTTTCCCCCTGTTGCTCAGGTACTCCACTGACAACAGCACAGAGGATCAGAGGAGACTGGTGCCGTTTTTCACATAGACATTTAATTAGGTGATGCTGCATCGTGCTTGGGGATACCTGCAAACCCATCCATTGAGGACTAACTGATGAGTCAGGAATGTAAGCCTGTAAATCTGCTTTAGTGCCCACTGGCATTTAGCTATTCATACAACTTAATCTCATTGGGGGTCTAAATGAAGTCATTGTGGGTTTCCTGCTTTAATATTACAGAATTAACTCCAAGATGTAGCTGTGTTCGGACCACCATCCCTTTGTGCTACAAAGCAATCTCTGCCTTAGTGAACCCTGGCTGTTCCCACTAGCGCAGTCCTGCATCCTCCACTAGCATCTTTGAGATGTTTCACACCAGTAGGTACCAACACAGGCCTGGATCAAGGCTGAGCACCCAGCTGGCAACTCAGCAACACTAACTCTTTGCTAGCTTGCCAGTTTTTACAGTGCAGGGCTTGGAAGTCCTGATTTGAGCAGGGTAGGTACAAAATACATCCAAACCACTCTGCAGGCATCAGGGCTGCCTGAGAGGCAGACCCAAATCCAAACCTAAATCTACAGCAACTTCAGCCTCACCACAGTCCCCTGCAATATTTCTTATGCTTCTGTTTCTTCCTATTCCACAACTGCTGGTTGGGAACTTGCAATGGTCACCCCAGCTTCTTGCTTAGAAGTCAGCAAGCAGTGCCTGGCAGCACATGGTAGAGCTCCCTGCCCAGGGGACCTCAGTAAACTACCCACTGGGATATATTAACCCATTAGCCCTGCTCGATACATTTTAAGAGGAAAATAAAAGGCTGCTGTAATTCCCTCACTCTTCAGTGCTCTATTACCCTGCCAGAGACATAAAGACTGATAGGCAGCGAGGGGGAGGCTGATAGAGCCCTTATACACATTGCAAATGGCTTTCAGCTGTTCCTGTCTTGTGGAGTTTCTCTATAGTTCCCTCCTTTGTCTCTCACTAATGGCATCGTCTCAGATTTAACAGCTGCTTTCAGAGCAAGAGGGTGTCTGTACTGATATTGACCTGAAGATAGAAAGGTTTATGGCTAATGAAAACAGCATCTTGTACATTCCTGGGAAAAGCACATTCCTCCTGCCTGACACTTGCCTGTTAGTGATGAGGAGAAAAAGCGATTGGCATAGGTTGCCTGGTATAAAATACATACATATATACATATATATGTATGCATATTGCAATGCACTTTTGGATTTGTGAGATCATTCCTCCCTGTTCTGGGAATACCAGTAACGCTGGTCAGTGCTTTGCTTTGAAAAACACTGACCTACAGATACAGCACCTGTGACCCCTCCTCTGTCACTGAGTAGACTCCACACCCACAGCTTTCACTATCTCCTCCTAAGAGGTGGTAAAACAGCCATGAAAACCAGCACAGTTCTGATGACATCTCTGAGTTTATACTGGTTTAAAGAGAGAGGATCTGCTCCGGGGTCCGTACCACCTTGCAGCACTGGTGACTTCCCACCATCTTGGGGGACCAAGGGCAGAGAGGCTGATGCCTTGCAGCCCACTGGATTTGCAAAGCTCCACCTTTTGGGATGCATTAGAGTAGGGCTGTGCTCAGAAGCCACTTTATTTCTGAGGAACTTTGCATACAATATAAACCACTAAAAAACTTAAGAAAGACTTATAAAGTTGTAAGGAGCTACTTCAGTTGATAGAGAGAAAGCAACATGTGCTTAGGATGTCCTGGGGAAAAGAAAATCCCTCCAGGTTACAGGGATTTTAAAACAGAAAAAAAATGATGGTCAGGGACAATGTGAAGTTCTCAGGAAGGACACATAGGGACTGCCTTGAGACTTGTGAGCTATGAAACAAGCCCAATACAGAAGAGTCTCAGATTAAAAGATTATCCAAGGCTGAAATGTTAAGGTGTAAGTAATTGGCTTATTTGGGATGCTGGGCAATATTTGCCTTACAGATGAGACAGATCACATGTACTGTTTAGGTGTCTTACCTGTCTTGAATGGTTTTGCGATGCCCTCTGTGGCAGGATCAGCTGCCTGAAAGAGGAAGAAGGAAGGGGTGGTTATTCCATGAGTTGCATCCATCTTCAAGTACAACCTTGTTTTAAAAGTGGATTGTAATAGTTCCTATTGCATGGCATGTAGGCGATACAGAGCCTGATGTGCAGGGAGCCAGCGCCAGCTGCTACAGAGCTTATGGCTCCTATAAAGCCTCACAGGTGAGTGAGGGATTCCTGTGGAGCAAACAGCTCTGGGAAGCTCGCTGATGATCCTCCAAAGATCACCCTCAGGCATACCTCATCATAGCCCTTTTTTCTAATGTAGAAAATCTACATTTCTAACAGAGAAAACAATTCTCTCAGTGCAGTTGGGTTTTTGAAGCCCTGAAAACCTCAGTCTGTGGCTTGCAAAGCTTGGAGAGAGCAGAACAGAATGGGACTTGTAACCCTAGAAAGTCAGTATCTGCCCCCGGGAAGCCAGTAGCTGGATGAAAGTAGATAGAGCCCAAAGTGGGAGAGTGATGGTGTTGTCCTGCTTCACCTCCCTCCTACTTCTTGCTGGGATGCAAACCCAATATTCAGAATAGGCAGTTGTCCTCAGTCAGCATGGACTGAGAACGTCTCAGGAAATGAGCTCCAAGTGAGAAATACGGTAGGCTTCATCTGTGGTCTTGCTTCTATTTCATCACACCTCTCTGCCATCCAAACGTACAACCCTGAAACCTGCTCTCGCTTGCGTATTACCACCACACCAGTGAAGTCACTGACAGCTTGTAAACACCCTGCAATTGCCCTCAGGGAACAAAGAAATTCTTCCAACAGGAAGAAAAGATACTGAGGAAAGATACTGAGAGTGCCTCAGTGCTTGAAACTCTGTCATATTCCTGCACTCACTAATGCAGGCAGTCCCACGGTGACTTCAGTATCAGGGAGAGGTTTTTCCTCAGGCTAGCCTAAACCAGCTTGTCTTATCTGGATACCAATTACCTGGGCTAGTTGTGCAATCTAATGAGGCCAGGCCTTATTTAGCATGGAATCATGGAATCGTATGACATCTGAAGTTGGAAGGGACCCTGAAGGATCACCCAGTCCAACTTTCTGCTCCTCACAGGACCACCTAAAATTAAGCTAAATGACTAAAAGCATTGTCCAGATGTTCCCTGAGCTCTGACAAGCTTGGTGCTGTGAGCGCTCTCCTGGGGAGCCCGTTTCAGTGGCTGAACAGATGCCCAAGATGAAGAAATTTGGGAAGCTGGTACCAGATTTAGCAGGACATTAATATCTCCTTAGAGAAATGAGGCACACCATGTATGTGGTGGGAGACAAATTCATAGGGGTTCATAAGCACTATTTCTGTGTGTAAATAGGATAACACACAGAGAAGGAAGATGGCTGGACAGTGAGAGAAGTCAAATTGTGTGTATTTGTGTTATTGTTCTAGCCTTCAGTATTGAAGAATACTTTTAATTAATCATTGGCCTAATATGGCTATGTTTTTAACCATGGCTGAAGTGTCAAGCTGTATCTGCTTCCATCAAAGCAGCATTATCTTTTGGTCTAATACCAAAATGCTGTGTCCTGCAGACAGATGGCATAGGTGCTTCATGATGTGGGTATCTGTAATACATGATTTGTTCATTTTCTCTCCCCACACCCATGTACGACAGGGGAGAAGTTATTTGTTGAGACAATAATTCTCCAGGTTATCTTCCTAAACTGTGCAAGAAGGCCTTCGGGTTAGAAGAATAAGAACCTGAAGCTGCAGTTTGGAAAAACAGGCATTTCCAAGCTTTTTGGTCCTTTACACGCCATCCTCCCTTGCAAACTCTTATGGATCCTATGCACACATATCATCAAATGTAGGACTGAGAGCAGACTGCTGAAAATGCTCCCAAGGAGCATCTCGGCTTCTGTCTTGGACTCTTGCACTGGGACGTCCCTCTCACATGCGCTCACAGCAATGGGAAGCTTTGCTTCTCAATGCTACGTATGAGCATGTCTGCCCTCTGCAGAGAGATGAAGGCATTTCTGCATGGAGACACTGTCCCCAAGTACATTACGCTAAATGAAAGCAGGCAGCAGAGAAGTGTTTGGTAAACTGATTGAACCATTATCATCAATGAGGTGTTCATCTTGCACCTCCCTTGGAGGTGGCCTGCAGGACAAGGCTGATGGCTCGCAGCTTGCTTTGGGGTCAGGACAACAGAAACGAACTAATGTATTGTGTTCTCACCTGGGAAGTCTCCCAGGGAGTGGAAACAGCAGATACTAATGCAATATATTTTAGTGACAATTGAATAGATATTCAAATAGAGCTTTACAGATTGCTTTGAAAGATTACTGGCACTATTTCTTCTTTTTCTGACAGCAAAAATATTGCGTGTAATGCTGTGATTTGGAATGCAAAGTGGCACGCAGCAGGAGCTCAGAGAAAGTCAATTCTACAGTGCCAGCTCAGGCATGGCAATGAATTTCACTCTGTGTGGAGTGAGCTGGGTGCTGCTGCTGAAGGATCTCAGTCTTTTCTCAGCAAGTAGCATAGTTTGAGTTTGCTTCGTTAGAGAAAATTATAATCAGGTGCCAGTGAAAGTTATTTCATTCTTCTTTTGCCTTATTTTACAAGAACTTTTCCTAGGCTGAGCCAGATTGGTGCTGCTAAAGGGACGTGTCCTGTGTTAGAACCCTGAATAGTCATTTAACCATTTAACATACTGGAGTATGTATCTGCTTCTAGAAAGCCCAAGAAAACACACCTCCAAATCACAGCCCCCTAAAAACTGGCCTGAGGTCAGCTGAACAAGGTCCCGAGCTCTCCCAAGAGCATGTCCACTCAGCAGCTCTGTGAGAACAAGCTTTTTGGGCTGCTGCCCTCAAAGGAAGTTTTGCTACTTGAAGAGCCTCAAGGATCTCCTGTGTCTCTTGCTCAGCCTCCAACCATCATCTGGCTGAGGGGGAAGGCAGGAGGTGGCACTTCAGGTGGTTGTCCAAGAGGCAAAGGTAGCAACTTGACACTGAAAATGCCAGGAAGTGGAGCACCATCCCCACAGCTGATCTCATAACAAGCATCACATCACAAGAGGATGGAGACTGGAAGTGGCTGGTATGTTTTTGCAAGGAACAAGGGATAGGACAAGAGGAAACGGCCTCAAGCTGCACCAGGGCAGGTTTAGATTGAGCTGAGGAGCAATTCCTTCCCCAGAGGGTGCTCAGGCATTGGAACAGGCTGCCCAGGGCAGGGCTGCAGGCACCTTCCCTGCAAGTGTTCACACAGCGTGGAGACGAGGCCTCAGTGCCATGGGTTAGTGGTGGCCTTGGCAGTGCTGGGGAACAGTTTGACTTGATAGGCTTGAAGGTCTTTTCCAACCCCACTGATTCTATGAAACAGAGCCCTGTGTGAAATGCAGTTTTTCCAGTCCTGACAAACCCTATTAAAGTCACCCCTCCATGCAGCAGGTGACTGTCACTGTACACACCACCAACAGCAAGCGTTGGAATAATGCATTTTCTTATCTAAAATGCCTCAGTGGTTTTCCTGTGGTGTTCAGTGAGTGGAAATCTGCTTTCGGGGCGATAGTTGGTGTTTGGGGTTTTCACCTTTTCCTTTTTGTCAGGGTTGCCCGCCAGAGGGGGCCAATAGGCACCAAGTGGGGCAGTGCATGACAAGGTTATATTTCAGCAGACATAAATCACTGATAGCGTTGTTATCACGCTAGGTGCTATAGGTTGTATCGTGCTAGGTGCTGTAGGAGCAATTTCTGGTTACAGCAGTCCCACTGCTAAAACGGTTTGACATTTTTAACTCCAGCATCTTTGAAAACTAGATCAGCAAATGGAAGTAACTGCCCTGGCTCTTGGCATTTGCCACCCTGGTGCCTTAGTGGTGGTGAAAAGATTTGCCCATTCAGTTTGGAGGTTAAAAATATGAAGTCTACAAGATCCAGAGCAGTGATGGACTGTCCCAGATTGCAGACTTTGGACATTCACACAGAATTTGTCCATAGAGGTAGGTGGCTTAAGTGTCTGATAGAGCATTCCTTGCAGCACAGTGTAAGATTTGCTGAGGTCTGTGAATCTTAAAATGGCATTTGTCTAGCGCTTTCTGTCCCATAATTATTCACTGATTTTGCATATATCCCTCTTTATACACAAATATCTATATAAGTGTATATGTATAAATACATAGATGTGTATATATACATACATGTATATGTATTAAACATACATAGATGTGTATATATACATACATATATATGTATTAAACATACATAGACCTGTATATATACATACATGTATATGTATTTACACATATCTTTTGAGGTCCCTTCCAATCTCTAACATACTGTGATACTGTGTGTATATATAGAGAGAGAGGTGCATATATATACCTATATCCAGCAGCAGTGAAATGCGTCAGGCAGAAGGGTGGATGTATTAGCATTCTCATAACAGTGTTAAGAAACCAAATGAAGGCTACTGACCATCATAGAGCAGCTATTCTTATTCCAGAGAAAAATAGTCACTTGTAAAAGATCTAGACAAGTGAATAGCCCGAGACCAAGGATTTCTGCAGGTGAAAGCTGAAGAAATGGACTGATTTAAGCACTGCACGTAGTTTCAAGAAACATAGTTTACTTCCCCAAAGTGACGCTTCCCAGGTCTGACATCAATGTGCTGTGCTACCCGTCCTGAAAACAAGGCGTAAAGGAAAGTTCTTGGCGTGTTGGAAAATGGGGGTGTGTTTGTGAGGGTGGTAATGTGTATTTTCAGTGCTGTTTGATTCAGAGAAGCAGCTCTGGAATCATAGTTGCTTTTTTTGTTTGTTTTGGTCTTTCATGTTGGATTTCCTTTTATTCAGAGCACCCAGATATTGGATGAGGCCATTGCCTTGTTTCTGCATGGTTAGATTTTCCCTTTCTAATGCGTCATCCTTCATCTTAAACTAGGAAAATGTAAACTCATCAAAAGGAAGACAAGCATTGACTTGCATGTACCTGCAGTGGGGCTAAGAGACTGTATGAACTGCTTGCCACCAGAAGCCTTCTCTTAATGCAGTGGTACGTGAGGCATGGGTAACAGGGGCCTGCATTGTCTCTAAGACCGATTAACCTAACACTCCTTTGAACAGAGGGAAAGTTGCTAGCTCAGCATAGGGAGGGCATGAAGTTGCCACCATTGCCCCTGTGGTCAAGGACCACTCACATAATCCAGCTGTCAACCACTCACATAATCCAGCTGTCAACATCTGGACAGTAAAACAGATCTTCCCAAGAGACTGATCACAAAAAATGTTGGTCCTCTTTTTAGAAGTTACAAAGAAAATTAAGCCAATTGATGATGTTCTAATCCCTACATCAGTAAGACCCAACGTGTACAGGGCTCCAGGTGCAAGAACCATCCAGACTCCATGTCGTGGAACTACTAAAGTCAATATGGCACAATGCTCAGCCCGGCCACAACTGTATTTACCAAAGGAGTTTGTGCCTAGCCTTACACTGACATTGTGACCATGAGCTGAAGGAGTTTTGGAGTAAGCCCTGGAGTTTCTTGAGGAACCTGTCTCACAGAACCAACACTTGCTCCCAGGTCTGGAAGTTTAAAACCAGTCATGGATGGAGAATGACTATACTGCTTGAGAACCTGGGGGTCTTTCAGCTCCCTGAGAGCAAGAACACAAGTTATACTTTTACTGCCAAATTCCTCTCACAGTGTAAAATTGATGCTTGATTTAACTGTGTTCCTCCCACACCTCAGCTTCCTGCTTTCTCCTTCAGCCAAACTCATTACCAAAGCAGCTGCAATAATGTCATTACTCTTTTAAATGAAAAGCTTGACTCTTTCAGTAATATTGTTCCTCTGGCAACTATAGTGTAATTGTGTTTATCCTGATGGAAAGGTAATTTAATGCTTACCTTCATAATAAGTACAAATGAAAGTCTCATTATATAGGGAAGCTTTGGCAATTCTGTAATTATCCAGCCTGTTATGTTAAATATCTCCCTTAATGTCCCACTGTTTGTCACTTGAAAACCCTCACGTCTCATTTTCACTGTGCCCAAACTGCTTCTCTTTTGGAAGAGCACTGATTTCAGGTAAATGTCTCCTCTCAGGTGCAACAAAGAAATATCAGTCAGGCCTTCATGGTTTCATTTCTGGGTAATGTGCATACAGAGGCACACAAATTGCACAGAGTTAATTTAGTAAGAGAAAACACTGAGCTGAAAGATCATATTTTGTTTTCTGTGGCCAACTTCCTCCAGCAGCCCCACACTGGTGCTTTTACTCTATGAATAGTTATGGTACTTTAGCACTTAGATATTTGCAGTAAGATTTCAAAGCCTGTAAATTGTCTAACCTGGCATTTCATCCCAGTAAAGTTCATGGCAATGTTCCTGGTAGGATTAGAAATGAGCTTTTTATATTCACAACCACCTGTGCCTCTTCTCTGGCTGTAACTTCTCACTGATTCCTCATTCAACCCCAGGTGCACTTGAGAGCCGTTCTCCTCATTTTAAGAAGGAAAAGATGTCTGTAGGCAGAGATAACAGCTGTTTTTGTGAGACCCTGTTAGATCTTGCCTCACTTACAAAAAAAGAGAGCAGAAGGGAGCTACTTTGCCCACATCCACTGCCCTGGGTAGTTCAAGAGAGTTCTGCCACACCACAGCATGGTGCATCCACAGTGTCACACACAGAGATGCCTCTTGTAATAGCCATTACTGAAATTCATCAGTATTTCAAAGGAATGCATGTAGACTCTAGAAACCAGACCAGACCACCTCAAAAAGTGGTCATTCTCCAAAGAAGTGAACTGAGACACATGTAGAAACAGGTAGCAAACACTGAGGCACTACATCTTCTCTCCAGCTCTTGTCCTAACTAGGCAGCATAGAGGGTGGCTTGCACCTCAGACTGTGAGTTTTCTACTTCCATTTACAGAAGAGGAATTGTGTGCTAGAAATTAATACTGCCCATGGAGAAAGTTGAAAGTTCTTTTCTTTCCCTCTTTGTTTCGTCTTCCCCTCTCCTAATTCATGTGGGTGCATTTATAAGAGGAGGCAGTGGCTGGTTTTCTGGCCAAAGGATAATTTTGGGAAGGCACTATGGGTGAGGGGGGAAAAAGAGAAAGGGGTAGAAAGGGAGAATGAATAAAGTAAGAAATATCTTACCATCCTCTGAACGACTAAGACCATGATGGTGGCTAATGCAAAGATGAGTAACGCAGCAAGGGTAGCAATGATGAAATACAAACACGTTCTGTTAGTGGCTCCAAGCCTCCTTGAAACGGAGTCTTCCTTCACATGCATGGCTGACTCATGCAAGTCCTTCGCCTGAAAAGGTGTTTGCTCTCGCGTCGAGCACATTCTTATATAGCTCTCAGGGTACTGCTCTGTATCTCCCCTTGATCAGGTTCAAGTTGCAGCCCATCTCTTTTCCTGGCAGGATTTTCCCCCTTCATCCTGGCTCATGTGATCCGGAAAAAAACCTTCATTGCTCGTAGTACAAAAAAAGGGGGACCTGGGGGCGTGAAGCAGGATGCAGCTGTGAAGAGGGGAAGGAGCTTCATGTTCTTGATCAGCGGCGTTCTCGAGTGCTGCATTGGAGGTTTCTGATGTCAGAGGGTGAACAGTTACCCAGATCTGCCGTCCCCCGCCCCACCACTGGCTTTCTGTGAAACAGAGAGCTGTTCAAATCCTGTTTCATTTTCTACCCAGTGCAGCTACAGTCCAGTACACTGAATCACGCTGGGGCTCTGCCTTTCTGTTGCACAGGGTGATCTCTTCTTATTCCCAGCAGCGTTCCAGAGCTGTGATCTCCAGAGCTCTATGCTCAGAGGTAACCCAGGCTTTGAGTTCAGTGATTGGTGCCTGTGAAGGTCTGGAGATGTTAGGTGGGATTTTCTTTGAAGAATTTCATAGAAGAGTGTCAGGAAGATGTTTCTGAAGTAGGAAGCATTTTCTAGGCAGAGGCATAGGAAGAAAGCGGCCACATCAAAGTGGCCAAAAGCGATGATGTTAGGATGTGTCTGCAGAGGGTCTCTGTATTCACCTTCCTGCCCTGGCTTATTTGCAGCTAGCAAATTAATGCTCATTTCTATCCTGTTCACAAGCCTCTCCTCTGTCCTAGCCTGGGACTATCATCCAGCCACTGGACTTCTCATAGAACTGAAATGAGATTGCTTTAACTGGAAACATTCCTACTTGTTTCCAGTATGGAAGGAGCAGTCATTCCTAATCCTGCATTTTTGATGTGAGATGACTCCTTGTCTTCTGGCCAGTCAAACTTGAAAGGTACTCCTGGTGTTTCTGAAAACTTTGACAATTAGATGTGTATCCTCTTGTGTAACATGATCAAAATGACTGGGAACATCGTTTTTCTCAGCTATTCTTGCTTTGGTAATAAAAGGGCATCAGAGAGGCCAAACAAGATTTTAGCCATGGTTCATCTAGCTCAGCATCTTACCTTCAGTAGAGAGTAACTAGGGATGCCTTGAGAAGAACATCAGAACAGAAAAATAAGTATTTGTTGGTGTAATTCTCCAGTTTCCTTTGATTTGGGCTTGTGGACTTCAAAACCAGAGGTAGTACCTTTCTATTTTAATCCAATTCTTCTTTACACCTCTGGCATTACAGAGTCTTGGGATTTTATTGTTGTTACTGCTATCTTTAATAAAATCACAGCACTACAAAGGCTTCTATAGATTTTCAAAGTAGTGTTTTTCAGAGCATCTCTCATCACCGTGGAAACAGGCAAGATATATTCTGTGCCACTGCTTCACCACCATCACAGTAAAGAACTTGCTCCTTACACCTAACCTGAACTTTCGCTGTTTCAGTTTGAAACCATCACCCCTTGTCCTACCACTACAGTTGCTATTGAAGAGTCCCTTTCCAGCATCCTTGTAGACACCCTTCACATACTGGAAGGTTGCTATGAGGTCTCCTCGCAGCTTTCCCAGGCTGAACAGCCTCAATGTTCTGAGCCTGTCTTCATATAGGAGTTGCTTTAGCCCCTGGTCACCCTCATGGCCCCCTCTGGACTTGCTCCAACAGTTCCATGTCCTTAAGTTGATGCTCCCAGAACCGCACACAGTGCTGCAAGTGAGGTCCCACAAAAGCAGAGCAGAGGGCAGGATCACCTCCTTCGACCTGCTGGTCATGCTCCTTTTGATGCAGCCCAGGATATAGCTGGTTTCTGGGCTGCAAGCACATACTGCTGGGTCATGTTCAGTTTCTCATTGACCAACACCCCCAAGTCCTTTTCTGCAAGGAAGCTCTGAATAAACTTGCTGAGAATTGAAAACCCATCCACACAGTCAGTGGAAATTCATCCTTGGCTGAAGTATGTGAGAACTGAAAACCTTTCTGAAAGAGGTTAATGGCCAGTTCTTCAGAGATGCGTAGGTACCAGCTGCCACCGGGGTGTGAAGTGCAGGAATGAAGTTTTGGAAGTTTCTGGTTTTATCCTCGATGGAAACTGGGTCCTTTCTCATCAAAGCCATGTTTACATGCATTACTTTGCTACCAGAACATCATCCTTAGCTTTTCAAGACCTAAGAGAGCTCAAAGATGCACCATTATATTTTATTACAACAAGTGATTTGTAGTCCCATCCTACTTAAGGGTCTTATCTAGAAAGTTGACTTGAGCTTATCTTGAAAGAGAGACCCCATTACATAAAGGCTGATTTAACTTCAGCTGAGTCACACCTGATTGCTCACATATAAACACGTGAGCTCATGCAGACGCTTGTAAATCAGTTGATATGGAAGTTGATATGGAAATGCAAAATCAGTAAAATGAAGTTACTGCAAAAAACCATTAGCATTCAAAGCATGAATCACCTTGTTGTTGGAGGCTTTTAAGTTCCCTCAGATAAATCACTCTCCTATTGCACTTCAGCATGATGTTGGTACTCCATATCTCAGCCCAAGCCAAGGGAGGTGGGTGCCTGGGCCAGAGCTGACAACATTGTTTGTTTTAAATTGCATTTATTAGAATGCATTCTAATGTGGTGCTAATCCAAACTTGGTCACAGAAGGAAGTAAATGACATTCCGATATCACACTCCTAACACTGTTGTGATGATGTCTGTCACCCCAAAACAGTCTTTTGAGATGCTGTGTATCTCCCATCCAAGCCTTCTGCTCCTGCAACGTATTGGAAAGGTTCCACAAACAGCAATGTTCTTTTTTTCATTTTGTTTCTTAAATAAAATTATTGAATAAAAATAGATATCATATGGGAGCAAAACAAGAAAAAGGAAAGCTTACCGCTGCTGCTGCACTGTAGTATCTCCTTGGGAAGCTAATAGCATTTATTCATGCTGTGCAACCATCTTCCTTGTTCAAAAGATTTATATCAGTCAGCCTTGTAAGTCAATAGAAAAACAGTTATATTAAATTAGCTGAAAATTTGCTATAGGGAGAAAATCACCTTTTGTTACCGTAGGTGTTATACATCATCCATCTCTTTTGAAGAGCAGGTAGAAACCAGAGATATTAGGGCAGATAATAAAATGCAATATTAAAGCAGTACAAATAAAAGTGCAGTAACTTCCACAGATGTGTCAGAGAGTGCTTTTGCTCAGTAGGAGTTGTTGTCTGCCCAAACAGTAACTGCTCTTCCCATGCAGCATCCTTCTCAAAGTAGGGAGCTTTGCTGCTAAGAGTCAATCCAAATAGAAAAGCTCTTTTCTGGGTATTAAAGCCCTTTGTATTCTGATTAATGACTTGGGAGTAGGATGAAGAAGATGACACATGAATCACAAAGCTGGAAGAAACGGGATCGCTAAATAACTTCAATAATAAAGCAGTTATTCATATGATTTTTTAGGCACATCCAGAGATTTCTGATACCTGAAATTCCAGTTACTCTGTTTTCATAATATTCTCATAATTTCTTGAGAACCAAAAACCAGGCTATTTCTGTGTGGTTCAAGCAGCATAATAAAAAACTGAGCCACCTAGAAGCATATTCAGACTCTGGTGCCTACTTTGGGGTCTACAATCACAAATAAGAGGATTATATCAATTTCAAATTCATTAAGGGAGAGAAAAAGGGCATTTGCTCATCTGAATATGGTTCTTGAAGTCTCTGGACACAACTGAATATCTTGGCAAATCTGTGAGGTGGTTTGGGTCAGCAGGAGCAAGTTCTAATAAATGGATTTTGGTAGCAGGAAAAAATAACCATGAGCATCGAAACCCAGTGAAAGGAAGGGAACGGCTCCATTTTCTTGTGCTGGACTTTGGATGAACATCGTAGAGAACACACCAGGACCATGTGTTGTGTGAAGGAGACACACCGAATCCAGCTGTATCCAGGTATAGCCAGAGCTGACAGAGAAATGCAGTAGGTTGAGCAAGGTTCAATCCTGAAAAGGATCTTATGTTTAATAGGTGTAGGAGATTTGCATGTTTTAAGTCTGAAAGGGGCCTTCAGGTTGTATGATCTGACTTGCTATGCAGGAAAAGGGGCTATGTTTTGACCCAGAAAACCTGGAAAATTATAATGGTGATGAGCCAGGCAAAGAAACATCAGGTGGGGTCTGAGCTGTGGGATAGGATCAGACTCGAGCAGCTTTCTGCATCTGTGTGTGGCCCTCCCACACCATCTAAGGACGAGTGTGAGGCATGGGGGGATGCTGATGAGCAATAGTGTTGGAAAGGATGGCAATGCCTCTTTAATGGAAAGGGGAGCTCAATTGTCTTTGGGGACATAGATATAGGGGCATTGTTCTGGAAGTGTTAGGCTGTAGTAATAAGGGGTTTTCTGTGTATGAATATGAAACTTTAAATAACTGGCCATAATAAGAAGTGGAATCCTGAACTAAAGGCTAGTTGGTCTGATATATATCAAAAGCTTCAACATTATTTGTGTTCCCTGTACATAAGAAGTGTGTTGAACTTTCAGGGTTGGAACACCTTCAAGCAGTAGCTTCTTTCTAGTCTCCCACAACCATAGTTAAAGACAAAAATCACCATAGAAGTACCGCAAGTTCCCTCTTTGGAGCTGGGTAGCACTTGGCTGCAATCAGCATCTCTAAACACAGCTGTTAAGATCCCAGCCCTATGCAATTTATGGCTACACTGGTCTACAGTTGTGCGAACATACAGCTCAGCATGGGCATTTTTCTGCAGTGGATTTTCAGAGCTGCTTGGCTTCTCACAAGCTTTACTCACTGAAAAGGGGCAAGATCTTTATAAATGTGTTGGGTGGAATCTTTCTCAGCTCCCCAGACCAATTCTAAGGCAGGCATCACTGTTAACTAGACTGTGCTTTCTTGGCAAGTGATTCAGTCTAGCTTAAAATAGTCAAGTGGGATGAATGAGTTTGGTAATGTTTGTGTTCCCAGCCTATGTTATAGAAACAATTTGCTTGGTCTAGATATCTTTCAGATAGCTGAAGGCAGGGAAGTGACTGGGCATGCTTGTGATTTATGACCCTCATTAGCAGGCAGAGGGCTGGGAGATTGATCATTGTTGCTCATGTGAAGGATCACACCTACCTTTTGTATCACCCTTTCGAGGGTAGCAGCCACCAAATAAACATAATGCACCGTGTCTGTGAGTGAAACTATACAAGGCCATCGTCAACCAGAGATGATCCAGGGATTGAGAGCTATCTTATTTTGGTG